GTACAACTTGAAGTTGTACCATAACGTTAAAGGTACAAATTGAAGCTAAAGGTACAACTTGAAGTTATACCATAACATTTATGTTATGGGTAAATGCCACATTTGGTCACTGAGATCAATGTAGTCAAAAGCGAGTTTCTACATAGAAACGTTTTGGTGATCTAGAAGCGTAAAATCGTAAGTTTTTAAGTTTTAAAGGGGATTTTTTTAACTAAATAAGTTATAAAAATTGAGATTTTGTGTAGAAGCATTTTAGTGATCTAGAAACGTAAAATCGTAAGTTTTTAAGTTTTAAAGCGCGATTGTTTGACTACATTGACTGGGATTACTAAATCGTGTTATGTTTAGTCACTAAGAAAAATTAATATCAATTTTGATCACTTGAATTACTAAAACAGGTAACATTTAGTCACTCTCCCGTTAGCCTACGTCCAACTCCGATCACTCGAATTACTTTTTTTTATGAATGTTACTCGAATTACTGAACATGTCACATTTAGTCACTCTCCTTAGCCTCCGTCCACTGCGCGTCAGCCCAACTTGATCCTTGCTCCACTTCGCGTTAGCCCAACTCGCGGTCCATCATCGCTCAACTCGAGTAAAAAAATATTATCGCCGCAGCCAGTACTCGAACCCGAGTCACTCCCCCACCAGACAAGCAACATTACCAGCAGGGTCCGATCACTCGAATTACTTTTTTTTATGAATGTTACTCGAATTACTGAACATGTCACATTTAGACACTCTCCTTAGCCTCCGTCCACTGCGTGTCAGCCCAACTTGATCCTTGCTCCACTTCGCGTTAGCCCAACTCGCGGTCCATCATCGCTCAACTCGAGTAAAAAAATATTATCGCCGCAGCCAGTACTCGAACCCGAGTGACTCCTCCACTAGACAAGCAACATTACCAGCAGGGTACATACGCGCCCTGTGAACATTCACGCGGCAGCACTATTTCAACAAATCTTGCCGCCGCCTCTTCAAGTCAAAGTTAATCGCTCGCATCTCCCGGCCCGCGAGGTCAAGCCCAGCAAGACCAGCAAGTTGGCCGGCAGGCTACAAACCTTCATTGGTATTCGTGGGTGCAGCGCGCTATTTTACAGCTCCGCTTCGCCAACATAAAGCTAAGTACTCTATCATGATTAAATATTGAATTTTTTTGGCTTAATTGCAAGTTTGGTCACTCGAATTGCTTAAAAATTTCACGTTTGCCATCCGAATTGATTTATTCCATTTATAGTCACTCGAATTAGTTGAACAGTCCAAGTACGGTCCCTCTCCGTTAACCTCCGTTAATGACGACCGTTAAGTGATGACGTGGCTAACAGAAAGACACAGTCAGCACATTTAAACATTAAAAAAAGACAACCCGCCCCGCCCCGACCCGCCAGCTCACCCTTACCCGCCCAGTCAGCCATTCTTGCCCAAACCCGCGAACCAGACCCAATTAACTGACCAGTGACCCAACCCCCCTGAAAACTAAATCGCAGACCCAATTAGGGCATTTCCCTTCCTCTCCATCTTCATCCTCTCATCCTCCCGGCCGCCTCTCTACTTTGCACACCAGAGAAAATCGCCGTCGAAGGGATGGAGGCCGCCGCCGCGCCGCCGCCCTGAATCCCTCACCCCTCCCGCGTCTGTTCTTCCTCCGCCGCGACCCTTCTTCGCTCGCTGCTATTTTCCCCCTTTTGCAACCCGCGCGAAACCCTAAATCGAAGCCGCCGCCGCCCTGAATCCCTCCCTCCCGCGTCTGTTCTTCCTCCGCCGCGACTCTCCTTCTTCGCGCGCTGTTGTTTTCCCCCTATTGCAACCCGCGCGAAACCCTAAATCGGAGCCGCCGCCGCCCTAAATCGACGAAGGAGACAGAAGAAGCCGTGGTTGACGAAGGTTGACGAAGGAGACAGAAGAAGCTTTCTCTCCTGTTTTAAAGGTAACGCTCACCTGCTTCCCCTCTTCTCTCCTCTTCTCTATTCTTCGCTTTTATAACCCGACGAGTAAAGGAGGAGTTGTCGCTGTCCTGGGGCAAGGGGAATCTTTTGGGGCTGGAACTTTACCTTTCTTTATACTGATGGTGGAGTTTTTGTCAGTTTTTCCAGCTCAGCCTTCACCATGGTGGGTCATGTGCGTGCACCAAATGCGCCCCAACCAAAATATGGTGAGTCAACTATCCCTGAAACAGCTCGCCTTTATTGCAGTAAAAGACATTAGTTTGTTGTCTTTTTCGAATTGAAAAATAGGGAGTGTGTGGAATAGCAAAACCAGCAGCATGTGTGAAGTGGTTCAGATGTCATTTTCATGGCTTTTAATACTAGTTGTTGGGTTAAAGAAGTTAGACTTTAGCATCTGCCCTTTACTGCTTTGTCATTTTAATTACTCATTCTCTCTTTCGTTGTTTGCAACAGGTACTTCTAGTGGAGAGTTCACGTTTGAAGTGCACTTATCAGAGTCATTGAAGAAGAAGGGTGGCAAGCATTTTCTGGATGAGAAGTCTACAGTCTACTGGGACTATGCAGATATCGACGAGTTATCAACGCTTGATCTGCCTGACATATACAAGGCATGTGGAGGGAAGCTTGACAAGCCGAAGTTCTTCTGGAGCAGTCCTTCAACTGATGCTATGTCAGAGATCACGTCAGATGAAGATATACTCGCCATGTCAACAAGTGCAAATGAAGAGGCGAGGGTCATCGAACTATATGCCATCTCCGAGGAAGACATTGCTGAGATCATGGACAGTGATGATGACGAAGATGGAGGTGCCACCAAGGGTAAAAAGGGTAAAGAAGTTGTTGGTCGTGATTCGGATGATGATGATGATAGTGATTATGAGGCTAGTGAAGAGGAGGATTTTAGCAGAGCTGACAATCTGCAGTTTGAAAGAAGCGTAGCTGCAGATGTAGAAGCTGATTTCTACACCGAAGAAGATGAAATTGAGAAGTGCAAGAAGACTATCATAGAGGCAGAAGAGGGTTCAGATGTCGACTCGGACAATCGAAGGACAATTTGTAGCTCGGATGAAGATGAGGACAGTGAACAGGTGGAGTTTCGAGCTGAGAGAGACATGGAGAGTCCTACTTTCGCTGTTTCGCAAAGATTCAGCAGTTTCGACGAGTTGAAAGAGGCCATAAAGCAGCATGCCTTTGTGGAAAAGCGCCCCATTCGCTTCAAGAAGAACGACAAGAGGAGGCTGCAAGCAGTATGTGCTGATCCATGTGATTGGTATATATGGGCCTCCAAGATGATTCTAACAGATGCAGTACAGATCAAGAAGTGCAAGCTACAACATTCTACAGATTGTCGGAGGACATTTAAGGTGAAGTTTGCAACTGCCAAGTTTCTTGGAGATAAACTTGCTGGGAAGATGGCAGCAGACAAGAAGATGAGCAAGGGGCTGCTCAAACAGATATGCAAGGAAGACTTTAAGGAAGATGTATTGGATTCAAAGGCATGGAGGATTCGAAGGGCTGCTCTTGAGAAGGTTAGGGGCAGTTTTATAGAGCAATTCCGAGGGCTATACCACTATGCCGAGGAATTGAGGAGGAGCAACCCAGGTTCTACAGTGATCATCGAGCAGAGAAATCAGCACTTTGATCGGATGTATGTGTGTTTCCAGGCTTCAAAACTGGGTTTCAGGGCTGGTTGCAGGCATGTCTTGGTTATTGATGGCTGTTTTTTGAAGCATGAGTATGGAGGTCAACTCCTTTCAGCAGTGGGTATTGATGCAAATGATCAGTACTTCCCAGTAGCCTTTGCTCATGTACCTGTGGAGAATAAAGAGAATTGGGAGTGGTTCTTGGAGCTCATCGCTAGTGACTTGGAGGTTAGGGACAATCCCGGATGGACTTTCATGTCCGACAAACAAAAGGTATGCTTTCACTTTATTTATTCCTTGTTTTGTGATTACAATTCTCGGCTGTCCAGAATTTGAATTGTGTGTTATTGGTGTTTTAGGGACTAGTGCCAGCTCTCGATGGACTCTTCCCATCCTGTGAGAAGTGGTATTGTGCAAGGCACTTGTGGACCAACTTCAAAGGTGCTTGTGGGGGGTCCCAAAACATGAAGAACCTATTCTGGGCAGCAGTTAGAGCGGAAACGGTGCCTGAATTTCGCAACCAAATGCAAGCCCTATCAGAGTACAACAAGGCAGCCTATGATTGGTTGATCGACAAGCCATTCTACCATTGGACAAGGTCACATTATCAAACCCTCTGCAACTCTAAGATTCATACGAGCAATTTGGTGGAGAGCTGGAACAATGTGATTATAGAAGAGAGGGATATGGGTCCTGTATGTATGTGGGAGGGGATTAGAAGAAACTTGATGGTGTTATATGCCCACAGAAGGAAAATGGTGGAGAGCTGGACATCTATGTTCACTGAGAAGATTGAGAAGGAGCTAGATGAGACTACTGAAGAAGCATTGAAGTGGTCAGCAGAAAGTAATGGGAACGGACAATTTGAGGTGAGGTGGCACAACCACCAAGTTGTGGTCAATCTGAAGAAGAAGACATGTACATGTAGACATTGGGAGTTGACCGGCATTCCGTGCTCACATGCTATCACTGCAATCAGGAAGGCAAAGCTTCTGATCAAGGACCATGTTGCTGATTGCTACCTGCGGGAAACAGCGGCGAAGATATATGAGTTCTCCATTTCACCTACTAATGGCAAGGAGTATTGGCCAATTTCTGAGTTGGGAGATTGTGGAGTCCCTCCAGTTGCAAACTCGAAAAAGAGGGGCAGACCAAAGAAGCAGAGAAGAAAGGGACTTGATGAGGATGAGAAGGGGAAGAAAAAACAGAAGAAGGGTGAAAGGGAATCATCAAAGTCGGAAGGAAGGAAGTACGCGTGCACCACATGTGGGGTAGTTGGGCATACCAAACTGTTCCATAATGAAGAAAGGAAGAAACAGGTGGAGGAAAGGAGAAAGGCTAAGGAACAGGCTAAGGAAGAAGCTAAAAGGGCGAAACAGCTTGAAAGAGCTGAAAAAATAGATTGGCAGCCATACAGAAGCAGCAACAGAGGGCTGCAAAAGCAGCAGCAAAAGCGCCACTGAGTCAGCCCAACACTGTCCAGCTCATGCCAGATGTAAGCATTTATTCAATTTTACAGTTTTGCTTTATAATCAAGTCCTACTATCTTCTAATGTTGTTTTAACTTCGCAGGGAACTACTAGGAGGCCACGGATTGAGGCATCACAGCAGCCCACACAAGGATGTGGAGGATCGCAAAATGTAAGCCAAGTGACTCAAGAGCACGAGTGAAGATTAGATGAAGTTTAGGTCCAAATGATAATTACCATTTTGAAGCCTCCAATTGGCTAGTAATGTAGACGTTGAATGTTGCTTTGTCGTATTAGCTAGCCTATTAGATAATGGTGAATTGCTCTTTTGGAAAAACACTGTCCTCGAGGCTATAATTATCATTTGGACCTTGTAAGACTAAGTTTTATGAATGACTATAAGGTTTATCAATCTTCCAGTACATTGGAAGGTTCTTTTGCACAAACCAGTTTCTTAATTGTTCCATTCGTTCACCTACCTGTCAGTGACAAAACATGAAACTATTAAGCAATTCCAGTGATCAAACTTGAAACTATTAAGCAATTCCAGTGACCAAACATGAAATGGATAAGCAATTCAAGTGACCAAACTTGAAACTATTAAGCAATTCCAGTGACCAAACATGAAATGGATAAGCAATTCAAGTGACCAAACATGAAATGGAATCGCAATTCAAGTGACCAAACATGTTTCGAATTAACAATTAAAGTGACCATACATGGAATGAATTAGCAATTCCAGTGACCTTACATAGAATAATACTAGCTTCCACATTGTCAACAACTAGATAGATCTCTCTACTACACCAACTACACATCAACCGATTTAAACACCTGCAACTACAACTACACAGACGACTTATCACTTTCCTATCCAAAACAAAGAAAATATAATAGCTCCTAAAATGATGAACGACACCATTTTCCGATCAAACTTGGACACCTTCTTGTCTTGCCTCTTCTCTAGCTCCCGAATTCGACGATGAAAGTTTAGCAACACATTTCTCATATGCTCATCAAGGGCTGGGTCAAGCCATCTGAAGTAATTACATGCTCCATTTGTCTACACACCATCAAACAGAAAAATAGAAGGATGAAAAAGGCGGCATAATAGTCGAATCGTAACATTAAAAAGGAAACAAAGGTGGATGAACCTTACCCCATATCTGCTGCATCCATAAAACCTTCTTCCTGGATTCGCCTCAGTCCAGCTCGTCTTCAGATCTGTTGGCTCTCCACAGTGACAGAAGGGAGCCACCATTGTTAGAGGTGAAGTGGGAGGAGGAGGAAAGGAAGAGGTGGATGGGTGGATGGGGATGGGGTGATTCTCGCGCAGAGTAAAGAGGAAGAGATGGTTAGGGATTCACTTCATGGGGATGGGGTGATTCTCGCGCAGAGTAAAGAGGAAGAGATGGTTAGGGATTCACTTCAGAGGGGTAGACTTATACAAGGGGGCTATTTTCAGGGGGTTGGGTCACTGGTTTGGGTTTAGGGTCAGTTAATTGGGTCTGGTTCGCGGGTTTGGGCAAGAATGGCTGACTGGGCGGGTAAGGGTGAGCTGGCGGGTTGGGTCGGGTTGTCTTTTTTTAATGTTTAAATGTGCTGACTGTGTCTTTCTGTTAGCCACGTCATCACTTAACGGTCGTCATTAATGGAGGTTAACGGAGGTTAACGGAGAGTGACCGTACTTGGACTGTTCAACTAATTCGAGTGACTATAAATGGAATAAATCAATTCGGGTGGCAAACGTGAAATTTTTAAGCAATTCGAGTGACCAAACTTGCAATTAAGCCAATTTTTTTGCTTTCTTGAGCGTTAATGGCGCTAATAGGGGGCAAGACGTACCAAACAACATGGGAGATGAGAAACTCAATCAAGCGACATATGGGAGCGCTCGACTACCTCCATGAAGAAGCTACAAATAAGTCTCAACAAAGCACACAAATAAGACTTCAATAAGAGCATCGGTGAATCTACAAATAAGTCTCAACGAAGCACACAAATAAGACTTCAATAAGAGCATCGAAAAAGCTACAAATAAGTCTCAACAAAGCACACAGGTATATAAGGGCTTGAAGCCCTCCAAAGGAGGGGACTTCTTCTCTCTCCTCACTTTCCACTATCTCTCTACACTTTATCTTTCTACCTTGTTCTCTCAACTCTCACCTAAAACATAAACTGACTTGATCGTCGGAGTTTAATCCGGGGGGCAACCCCGGCTCTTCCACAGGTTTCTCCACTCCCGACGAGATCAGACGAACGGATCGTGAGTCAACCCCACACCAACAAATATCATTTTTTATACCAGAGCTAGATGGTACAAACAACACCCATCCTAGATCGCCAGAAGTGATCCGAGAAGGGCAGAAGGGAAGATAAGAGAAGAAAAGAAAAAAAGGAAATAGTAGCAGCATGTTTGATAAAATGAAATAATAAATGGACATGTTTGATGTAAAAAATAATAGAGCAACATATTATACCTGTAATAAAAACTAATTACACGGAACCAATTAGACCTAGAACCACAAGCAAGCAAGCTCCTGAATCAAAAAACAAGTCTGGTTAATCTTCTTACTAAGTGTACTAATGCTTTGTGCACAGCTCCCCGATTGAGGAGGCTCCTCCTGATCCTATGAACGATCTCCTTCCACGATTTCAACTCATCCAAAATTCTAGCATTTCGTTACTTTCAAATCTCCCAGCACAACGCATAAAGTAACCTCATCCCAGTTAATTGGGACAATTTATTAATTTGGATTAGGATCCAGAGGAGTGATCTGGTAATTCCTACTTGATTTGTTTGTTTTTGTCTTTGAATTACACGAATTTTAGTGAAGAGAGATGAGACTTTTGATTAATCAAAGTCTTTTTTTTTAGAATATATATTTTTTAATATGGTCAACCTCTATTTTTGTCCAAATTCGTTAAAAATTAAAAGGTGAAATGTTTTATTAATAGGGTATGCACCTTATCAACTCCTAGTAGGATTTGGATTTTGCTTGCAAATAAGAAAGTATGAATAATGAATTGGCAGTAAAACAGCTGGGTTTTGTTATCTCTAGAAGCCAAAAAGAGTCTGAAAGCATGGATGGAAGAACATACTTCTCTTTTCCAAAAAAAAAAAGGCAAAATACAGCTGTATAGGCATAACTTTCACACTTTTGACAGATATAGCCATATCTATTCGAAAACAACAAATAGCCCAAAAAACGGAGGGTAGTGTGACAAATCTAGCCAAAACCGTTAGAAACTTTAACACCGTCTGCGACTCCGTTAAATCGTGTGACGGAACGCTGACGAGGACGGAAACCGACCTCCACATCATTGACACATCAGCAAAACGTACACATGGCATTCCATGTAAATAATTCCAAAAAAAATAATTTATATATGTTTTCTGTCCTGTGCATTCTCCCTCCCAAAAACCCAGATCGAGATCCCTCTTTTGATTTCCCAAATTTGCCTTTTCCCATCTTACCAAATCCATAGACCCAGCCTTCCTTTCCCCAAAATCCCTTCATCCTTCCGATGCAATCTTCACTCCGTCTCCCCAAACTTGCTCCAAGAGCTCTAGCCGCCACGAAGGTGTAGTTCCGGCTGCATTTTCGTTCTCCTAGATCTACTATTGCAATGAAGCAGAGAGAGATAGAGAGAGGTAACTCATCGTAAACTGGGTGATTCAATGAGCTCGCATCACCTTCCAGGGAGGCGGCGACGTTAAGACTCGAGTCGGCCACAACCTTCTCTTCCTCCCTCGTCCGCCATTAAACCCAGAAAATCAAAGAAAAACTCATATCCAACTTGCCAAAGCAGAATCAAATGGAAACCAGATCATTGGATTCCCTCACCTGCAGATGTTGAATTTCATGGCGGCAATCACTGCGATTTCGTCGCAGTTCCAGATCGGGTTCTTCTTCCTGGTTTGAAAAAATCCCTTTCGTTTCTCACCACCGAACCCATCCTCCATAGATGCTGATTGGGCGAAACCCGAGGAAGCAACATCAGCTGCAAGGGGGAATCGATGGCAGATCTAAATTCATTCAGAGCAGTTGGCTTGAGTTTTCTGATTCGGAATCGATGGCAGATCTAAATTCATTCAGAAGGGTTCGATGGCTGCCGCGTCGGTGTCGTTGGGCCATATCCCTGCATCTGTATTCTTCTCTTCTTTTTCGTTGAAGGTAGGGAAGTAGGCGACGACGGCTAGCGGTCGGAGAGAGCGGAAGAGGGGGTGAGGCCGGTGAGAGGAAGCGGCAGCGGAAGAGAAGAAGATTGGAAGCATCAGAGGCAAATTAGGAGGGAATAAGAGGCGGTGGAAGAAATCCCAATTCAGGGGAAAATATTTTTTTATTTTTTTATTTCAATTTTTTTTGTTAATCCACGTCAGTTAGCAGGGACAATAAATCGCCAGATCAGCATCTTCCGTTAGTACAGTCATACCGTCAACTGACACCGTTACCAAAATGGACGGAATTGACTATTTGTGGTTTTCAAATAGAAATGGCTATATTTGTCAAAAATGTGAAAGTTATGGCTATACAGGTGTATTTTGCCCAAAAACAAAAACAAAAAAACAATCACAAACGAAAGGATTGGGAATTTGTGAGCTTGAGAGATGCAACGTAACACATTTCTTTAATCAAACATATATAATTAAATTAGTGGTGAGATTTAGTATAGACAAAGGAATAAACAACACAATCTAATAAGTTTCAATCATGTTCCTCGACGCAACAATGCAATTAAAAACAGATAATGGTGCGGCCCCACTTATCAATTAACAACTGTCCTACACAATACCCTCCTAATAATCAATTTAATGCATAGTTTATGACTTGATTCACCACCTGAGCTGAGAAACATATGCTTTTGGTCATATTTTATCATCAATATAATATATGGGTTTTGTCTGTTCTAAGAAGATATGATCAGATCTCATAGGAGACTCTTTATTAATATATATATATATATATGCTTACATCATTGCTCACTTCTCATTATTCCTTCTTTGGTGAGAGCAACTACTCTCCATTGATTAATGCATAAATCAACCATATAATATGTAATTCCCCCAATACATGGTCAAGATGGACAAACTTTAAAGTGTTAATTAAAAAGCTTTTCCTACTTTAACTATTGGGTGTTGAGAATTTGTCTATGGTGCTTACTTCGTTCATCATTATTTGATTAAGCGATGGGTGCTTCAAAATTGTTGTTCAAACGTGTTACGTTTTATTTGTAAAATCGGCATATTCCACGGTCATAGAACACCTAACGTTGGGTGAAACAATTGTAAACAATGTAAGCACGTCCTTACGAATGGAGATGGGAAGCACCATAGCCGAATTGGGTTGACGGGGATATAAATATATTTTTTCTGTATGCACATATTCGCAGAGAAGCTTCATCTAGATTGCTGAATCATCAGATTTCTACACAATTCAACCTTTTCTCAAAACACATAATTAGGCGATGGATGGGACTTGACATCCCACTACTATTATATTACCCAATGATTCAAAGATATGCAATTTAATTTTTAAGTGGATTTGGAGATTTGTTACAACAAAGTAATTGAGAAATTAATTAATTAATGATAACCTACCTTCCAGGTGATTGCATCCCACCATTTATATCTTTGTTTTCTTTGACTTGTGGTAGTTTGTTTTATTTTATATATGCACAAGTGACAATTTAATTAATTTGAAGGATTAAGCATTACCAAATTTTATTCAATATATTTGGTTGCACACCCATGGAAATGTGCCACTTGATCAAATAATAATATTTTAGAAAGGCTAACCCAATGAATCCTACATTGCGCACAATCTAACTCCGCATAACCAAATTCTCGGTCCTTTGAAATTAATGGATGAACGTGTTTTTCACGGATCATTAAAAGTTATGTGAATTTCTCACTCCTAAAAATTATGTGAATTTCTCACTCCTAAAATTTCTTAGGAAATCATATATAAAGATATTTATTACGTATGTGCATTGTGCAGTCAGTAATTTGAATTAAGGGGTAACTTGAATCATGATAATTGAGGGGCAGGTTAAGATCTTACCGACTATCTATTTCCTAAATTTGTAACTTGTACTAGTAAGATATTTTCTTATTTAAGAATTTTTTTTATTTTTAATTGTAGTCAAAAGCGAGTTTTAATACGGAATTCAATGTAGTCAAAAGCGAGTTTCTACATAGAAATGAGTTTTCAGACCACTCAGTGAAAACACAGTTGTCCTTGCTTCACCCTCGCCAAAATCTAGTAAGGTGCCTATCCAACCAGACACGTCATAGAATAAGGAGTAAAAGGAAATATTACATCGATTTCATATATATAAAGTGAGCAACTATATATAGTTTCATCATAGTATCCATCAATTAATTCAAACTTCAATCACAATCATCGTATTTGAAAATTCCAACTATCACGGTCATTTTAAACAAAATTCAAACTAGGTTGTCTTTAAGTAAATATACATGTGCGACAAAACCATTTATAAAAGAAACGTGATACGTAAACAATATACTTTTACGGAAACAACGAGCAAGCTAGAAAGCAAATCAATAATAAACACTTAGAGGTGTCTGTCTTAAGTATATAATAATAAACTAATGTTTGCATGGGACGGCTTCCTTTGATCTGACTTTTCCTCCCCATTTATTCATTGATTAGTGCAGTTATATATTTTGACCCCTTTTGTACGTTTTCTCCTGTTCATGATTACAGAGAACCTCAAAATTAACAAATTAATCAATATATTCACCACCAACACCACTACTCCTCAATAATTTACAGGTACAAAGAACTATTTCATAACATAGAATAAAAAACCCACATCATCACAATTATTATAATAAAAATAAATTAATAAGCAATCAACTTCTCCCCTTTATAAAACCTATCTCCAACCCTACACCATTCACAAACAAACAAACACTTCCTTCGTCCACAAAAAAAAAATGTCCAGAACCCAATACTCTTCCACCGTCGATCAAATGAACAGTAACACCTCCGCCGAATCTTCCTCCTCCGGCGGCGACACCAACAAGCTCAAGCTCTTCGGGTTCGAGTTCGAGTTCGACCCCAACCCACCCGCCCACGGCCAAACCCATCCTCCGACCGCTGACGAGAGCGTGAACTCCTCCTCCAGCACCGCACAGATCGCGAACAGAACGACGCCGCCGCCGCCGTCGAGGAGTAGGCTGCGGTGCGAGTACTGCAAGAAGGAGTTCGCGAACTCGCAGGCGATGGGAGGGCATCAGAACGCGCACAAGAAGGAGCGGATGAAGAAGAAGCGGCTCCAGCTACAAGCCAGGCGCGCCACCGTCAGCAGCTTCTACCTTCACGCGCCGCCTAACCCGACGACGGCGGCGGCCCGGTGGTTCTACGAACCGGCTACCTCGTCGTGCGATATTGATGATGAGATTGGCGGCGGCGGCCGTCAGATTAGCTTTACCCATCGTCCGGATTATTTCTCTGGGTACGATGTTAGTAATAATGATGAGCATCGGGGCGGCGGGTTTACTTTGACGCATCATCGTCCCGTCGGCGGTGGTGGTCGGAGGTCGGGGAAGGCGGCGGCGGCGGCCGGTTCCAGGGGCGGAACTGATTATTTGGATCTGGAGTTGGGGCTGAGGTTACAATAGGAATTCTAATTAATTAATTCATGTGCGGAATTGTGATTAAGTGATTAATCAGTGATGTTAATTTTTAGATTACATATACAATACGGACCCATATGATCGAGTTAGGTAGGAGGCGGGAATGCTACTTCATTATGATCAATACTTATTGTTTCTCTTAGTGTTTTTAATTTTTTTATGTTATTTAGGCTTCGCTAATATTCGAAGCTGATGATGATTATTCAAGTCCATTGATAGAATGAGGGAAAAATAGATAGAAAAAGAAAAACAACAACAACAAACGTGAATATCATAGTCTAGAAAAAAAAAATCCAGATTGCTTGATGGGGGTATTTTGTGGAAAAAATCCAGATTGCTTAATATTCACTTGTAGAATAATAAGTTCAAATCGTACACCATTTGAGACGAGTTTGAGTGCTAACTCTACCGTACTAACCACTATAATCACTGTTCATTATTTTTAATTTAAATATGATGGTGGAGAGTAAGAAGGGGTATATTCGGTATATTAAAAAATTTATTTAATTAATAAATTATAATTTAAAATATTTTCTCTTATTTGTAATAGAGATTTATTTTAGACGTGAAAAATATTACTACTGGAAATCACTACTACTTTAATCAGTAGTGGTTTTGTTGGTTATACTGTTATGCTAGTGGTTTTATATAATGAACTAGCGTGGGCCCCGGCCATTTGGCCGGACGAAGATGAGGTATGAAATTTGATAATGTAATGGGGTGTATAGCTTATTGTTGTATAGTTTTTTTTTTGGGAAACACGTGATAAAAATAGTGAATTTTAGTAGAAAAGAGACATGAATGATGCAACGAATCAAAAATCAGCCTTATGAACCAAAATCAAGTACCTGTTACCTTGTGAAACAATATTGTTTCTGGTAATATGATGAGGTGGAGTAAGTTTTATAGAAACCGAATTCCAGAAAATCGAATAAAAATTCGCCTATCCCGCCGGTTTTCGGGAAATGAGCATCTCACAATCGTTGCTAGCTTTTACTCGGCCCGTTGGCGGATTAATTTGCTTTATAAAACTTTCATCTTCTCATCATTGTGCTTTCTGATTTTTTGCCAAGCCATGATAAAATCTAAAGAAATCAAGAATGAACAGCACGATTTGGGATAGGAACCAACTTTCCGGTATCCCTAGAAAATGGTGGTAAACACGGACTCACCTGCCAAACTGGTTTGGATTGAGATTTTTATAGGGTATCAGGGAACCATGTGATTATAAATTAGACTTGATCAAAACGGGCAAAAATTTGAAATTCAGCCTGTTTGACCGACTCATGCCAAACTCTAATTATTCTTTACTTTTAAACTTTATATTTGAAAATAAAAAATAATGAAAGAAAAGAGATGACTGCAATTCACCATTTGCACATCACTGATTCGGGAATAAAACTATAGAATTTCGAAAGGAAACTGAAAATGTTTAGGATCGTTTTAATGTTAAAAATAACCAAATAGATCTTTCTGTTTAGTTTTTAACTAACAAATACCAAACCATTCCCTATAATATACACTATAATTTAATCATTATGATATCAAATAATTACATAATATATATTTGAAATGATAAAAATTGGACTAATTGAGTTGGTCGAGGTTGTACCATTGAATAACTTTAAAATACATTATATTTTAGCCACTAAGATATAAAATAATAGCATAATATATATTATGCTAGAGAAAATAGTTTGTTTTGGAATGGCAAACCCATGATGTTCATTTGTTTTACTTGATGGGCAAATCCCGTGTAGGTCAGACCCATTCAACTCTTTTCTTTTATGATTAGCGGTTAGCCCATTAGAATCCATGCATTAGTTTATTGTTATTTTTTTTTCTTTTTAGCAATAAAAATGAGTATTGTTTTTTCCTTTTCATATATATATTTTACCACTACGGAGAAATAAAAGGACTTAAAGAAAAAAATTGACACTCCTGGACCCGTTTAAATCCGCATGTGTACGGTAAGTTGGCCCGTTCCACAGAGGAAAAAGAAAAAAATTGACACTCCCTACTCTACTCTTCCTACAAACGCTCCTGGAGCAGGAATTTGAAATGGGGGAAGGGTTTTTTCCTCTCTGCAATTATATGTTTTTAATTTAAAAAGATACAACAAATGTACTTAGTGTGATTGGTTATGATCTTTGTTTTTCTTTAAAATGGTCATGGTTCGAATCCTAGTAAGTGTCTTTTTAATGAATAAAAAAAAGTAATTGTGAAGACCAAAATGTCCTTCCTACTTTCACTCAGGATGCAGGAAATTTGAAATGGGGCTTCAAGTTTTCTCATTTGACTTTTATTTATTGTGTAGATTATATCTTCTTGCAGTGATTGAATTGTTATAAGTAGTGATTTGGAAATTTTAGAATTACTCATAATTGGTGAATTTAGAAGGTAATGATAAAATAATTACTACTAATGTGATTAGTTAGGAGGAAACTACTACAAGAAGAAAAAAAAATCTACTGCACAATCACTACTCGTACTCATACGGGCCACATCACTACTGCACAATCACTACTGGAAAAACTTTATCAAATCTGTAAAATCGCTACTACTGCTATAAATCATTATTGTTGAGAATCATTGCCACATATCTGAAAAGCTAGTACTACAAATCAAGATAAAATCAAGACCTGAATTCTCATCACTACTACACAAATCGATTATTTTTTTCTTCTTCCAATAAGTGGAGGAGAAAGTTAGGGGAGAGTTTGTGATGGTGGCGCCATTGGTTGGAGGAGGAGAAATGGAGAACATGGTGGCTGCAGCTTGTGAAAACGGAAATGGGAGACAGACGATTTTCAGAATGAAGAGAGGCAGCGAGAATGATCTATATATACTAGGGTTTAATAGGAACGATTTGAAATTTTTACCAAATTGACCATAGGACTAAGTTTATATCTAATGGTGAAAAACTTGGTTAGCATCGTGCTAATCCCTTAAGGGGTTGGCACCTAATCCAATTCTTATCGAATATTCATTAACTTCGTAATAACATTATACATAAAGGCCGAAGTCACTTCTCATAAAAATTAATTGGAGTCTTATCGAATATTCATTAACGTCGTAATAACATTATACATAAAGGCTGAAGTCACTTCTTATAAAAATTAATTGGAGTCAGCTTATTGTTAGCTTAATTGTATCGTTTGTAACACAGAAAACTACGACTATATATATTGAGTCGGGAAGATACTCAAATTGCCTCATCATGGGTGTGCCTTATTAATTCATACCTAGTCTGTTATGATTAAAAGTAAACGAGGTGTGAATAATTTGAGGGAACTTAATGGTTTACTTGCTGATGTTCTCTCGGTTTCTCTGTTTTTATTTGGAAAATTGTTTCGAATTATTTGTATTGTGGGACCAATATCTTTTAGGGTACATCTATGGTGACATGCAAGGCACTGTGACTTGCACAATTCAGTCGACTGATGTGCTCATCCGGTCAACCGGTTACACCATTGTGGTCATTCTGATAGAAATTATGCTCAACCATTAACATATAATGGGCAACCGTTTTAATGTAGTCATTACCAAAATGGTCGACCACAACTAAAGATTGGTCGACCGATTTGAGACAGTCATACAATAAATGGTTGACCACAATAGGAAATATGTCGACCTTTCAATTTAACCATATAAAAAATGGTGGACCGTAAAAAAAGTCGACCACTTCAGGGTCGTCATTACCAAAATGATCAATATCATATATGCAATGAGGCCGACCATTTTCAGCAATAGGTTGACCAGATAGAAGAAGAGTCGACAGCAAATCAATCTATCCCTCATGAAGTGAAACGTAGAGGAAAATGTTGATTTTGTGGACGACCACTTACAGTGAAATAAGCCTACGACCTTTGAATTTCGTGCTTATGCCTGTCGATGCCTGTACTTTATTTGGTCTAAAAAATTATGATAGAAACCAACAAATTCAATCTGTAATCATAATAGCAAGAAACCATAACTTCTTAACAGCTTAATCACTAACACCAAATACAATAAAACACACCTCACAATAGTTCACACATACATAAAATCGAAAACCACAACGACTTAATATCAATCCACGATCATAGTTGCTTTAAACCAAATAATCTTTAAGACTTAACAAATTCCACAACGAAAAACACAATCTAAATCATGGAGTTCATAGACTTCTCTCCTCTCACTCATCCGCATTCTCCTCATTGGTGTTGCTAGCATTATGGTAGTCGGATGTGGTGGGATGCATGTATCTTCCACTGAAAGATCGGAATTCTTCTCGCATCTATATTACACTCACCTGTAGTGTGCTCATGTGGCTGGGCTTTGAGCTATGATATTGTATATGAAATTAATATAATGGGTATTACGGGTACCTATACTGTCCAAACGGGTAAACACGTGGGTACCCAATGTCAAAATTCTTAATCTCAAGTCCCATCCCGTTATAAAGGTAAACTTATATCTAAGTTGGATGGACGAGAGAGCAGAGAAGGAAGGTGTTGCATAGGCAAGCTCCCCCTTGCTCTCCTAGTCACGTATCCCTTGATATTTGGCAACATATGAGCTGTTGATATCCTATTCCGTTAGATCCCACCTTGCGTAAAAGCATTTACCCGAACTAATGGGCAACAAGGACCTTACGAATTTCTCCCTTGAGGTGTCATGTCGTTCATTCGAATAAGGATCGATCAAATAGGACGACCATTTCTAGTCTTAACGCTAAGCGACTTGGATTTGGATCCTTGTACCTCAAAGGAGTGCAAGTTCGACTAAGCATTCATTCGAATCGACAAATAACAAAATAGAGGAAATCATGCATCGACACATATGAAATAAAATAATCGTATTATGCCAAACATTGAGTTTTACATGACCATAACCCCTAGGGGTTACATACCTACGCAACTAAAGGAACTAGCCAACCATGGGGAAGGGTTTCTAGACGATCATCGATCAAAACAAATTCCCTAGAATACCACTACTGGAATCGGCAGCCACAAAAAAGAAACGGAGGCATGTGCTGCCATTTATGGCATCGATTCCTCCTTTCTGGTTGGTTTCTCTCTAGGTCAAGTGAGTCGCTCTATTGGCAAAGTAGCATCCCTTCCTTGACATCTCATCTCCTTCTCCCCATTTCTATCTATATGGGTCTATTTATAGGCCTTTGATCGGCTTTCTAAGGAGAGAACCTCGTAGCTACTGCATCATCCAGTCAATCTGAAGTCTCCTAACTCATGGCCAGCAAATCAAGAAGCTCCCATGTAACTTTCTAATAAAGTAGAGGTGTTGTGTATAATGGCGGTAACGATGTTGTTTCTCATCATGGGCACCATTTTTTGTGCCATTTCTTTAAGCGCATCTTCTCTTCGATTCCCGACTCCAACAACTGGATCTCAATATCCCATTTGGCTACCAAGTGGTCCACTAAACTCCTTTCACCTGAAAATGCATAAAGTGTCACCAAAAGCGCATCAAACCCTCAAAAGAAATCCTAGGGTTGATAAAACACACTTGAAGCCATCATAACACAAATTTAAGGTATTATGATAATAATAATAATAATGATATAAAATTAATGCACTTTTAATCATAATAAGGAGGTATAGAATAGTCAATTATGCGTATCATCAAATAACCCCACACTTGAACTTTGCTTGTCCCCAAGCACACCTGAACTCAACATCCTTCAACTCACTAGACCTCAACGATGACACGTGACTTCCGATCTTAGGTATTGGATCATAAGAAGCTCTCAAGGTCAACTCTTGCACTTAGAAACTTTTGATCCTTGCAATGATGCTTGAAACGTACTTCGTAAGGACAAAATGATTTGCCTCTCAATAGATGGAGTTCTCTTTCTCTTACTTGGGTCTTCATATATGAGGATTAGGGAAGCTTATGTAGCTTGATAAGGAAGTATTTGTATCCCTAGCCACATAAATATTTTGAAATTTTTTCACATGAAGGCGATCATGCATGCGACGCCGCTTTGCACACATCATACCCATTTATGCATAGAAGGGGGTTTATTCTACTTTGTGCTTTGGTACTCAGTAAGCCTTGATCAAGAAAGATTGGTTTTTTAGCTCCTTTTCCTCGACTGTGCGGAGGGTCAATGAAGTCAAGGGGGTCTTAGAGCTTTATCTATGCCCTTGAAAACACATCCTCAAGTTGGCAATCCTATCATACGGGTGGAAATTTTATTTGTAATAGAGAGGAAACAACATCATCTCATAGGACTACCCTACCAAGACTTAACTAGTATCTCTTTCAAACCCCATTTTTTCCAAGGATAGGACGCTTCAAACTTGGCTTTTACCCCACACTTAATTGGTGGCAACATCATCTTTTGATTTAGACTTGACATAGTAGGATTTCGAATGTATGAAGATACATATCGACCCCATTTTAGCTTTAAGCGTAGAAGACTCATTTCTTTAAGGAGGAGTTTGAGAACTCAAAAAGGATGGTATGAAGCACCAATCCTTACGTTCTTAAGATGGATTCAAGTCTCATGACAATGACATCCTTTATAGCCCCTACACTAGCCTCCCTAGATCACGTATTAATGCAAAGAATGTCTATTTCTTTCCAGCTTTCGCCTTAACCTCTTCCCCGATGGGATGAACATCGAATACGATAGTTTTCAACCTGATTTCAATAGGTGAGCATTGCCAAAATTGATCAACTCGGCTTCTAGCTCGGCCGTACGTGCCTCTATGAGAGCAAGCCAGTGTTCCATCTCCTCTATGGTTTGCTCTTCATTTTGAGTTTTTGTCACGATGGAGGAGATTGAGTTGACAGTCTCTACTAATGGTGATTAGACTACTGGAACCTTACCATAGATGGGCATTGGAGTGTTCGTACGTTTAGGGTAATCAACGATCCTATTGCGAGGATCGCTTTCTGCCTACTAGTTTGACTGCCCTTAAGAAGTATAGATCTTGCCCAGAGGTGCGAGTAGGCTCCTCTTCGAGATAGCTCGTTGGCATATGCGAACCTCCCCAATCTTTGATTCCTGGGAACCTCCCAGATATTGCCACAAAAAATGAAGTGCAAGAACTGTTCTGACTCATGGTTCAGTCCGTCCGCGAACAAGTGAGCAAGCTGAAAAGGCTCAAAATTATGATTGGGATAGTCATCGATATTACCCCGTGTATCGGTACCATGCTTCTAGAGAGGCTCCAAATCTCCTTGCTTGAAGTTTAGAATTTGTTGTGCTAGAAAATATTTATTCCACGGCCGAGCGTATTTATCGAGAAATGTTTGAACTAGCTCATCCCAAATAAGGGCGAATTCATGAGGCAAGTTGTTGAACCATCTCTTAGTGCCCTTTTTATAGTATAGTGAAATAGCCCTATAACCCCATATATTCGGGTGCCGCTTTGAAACATTGTTCTGATCATAATAGGGATTGAACCTTATGGGGATGGTTTAATGGATTCTCATGAGGGAAACAAAACAAGGGTTTCATGTACTAGAGTTCATGAATGAGAGATTCCTATATTCCATAGTTAGTAGTAAGGTTGGCCGCCTTTAATGAATTAAGGTGTGTTCTGGGTACGTCAAACTTGAAAACAGGCCAAATGTCCATGATTCTAGGCTCGTATGCTCCTAGAATCTCATTATTCGTAGGGGTGGACCTTTGGGAGAATATGGACAGTTTAAAGGTATGGTGAGATGCAATCAATGTTTAGAAAGAGGCTACTCCTAAAAAAGGGTGCCATGGACGCCAAAATCATAGCAATTCAGGTGCCTGGGCCACCGATTTTGACTCCCTCGGAGTGAAGAGAAACTTACTCGACACGATCATGAAAAAAATAGCAATAGAATCCGAAAAAGAAATAGCACTCATACATAGTCCCTTTTCCGAAGTTTGCGAGATGTCCCTAGCAATGACATCAATTTTTGATTGTCGTAGATTGTAGCACAGACTAAATTTACATGACCCGAAGACCAGGATTATATTTCCGTAGATCTCTCGGAAAACCCTTACTTTAGTGGTAAAGTACGATTCTATTTGAGTTGAAAACAATGTAAGAGACGGATGTGCCTCCGGTTTTGCAAAACTAAAATGAAAAGAAAGGGAACGTGCAAAAAGGTAAACCTATAGCTAAGCTGGATGGATGAGAGAGCAGAGAAGGAAGGCGTTGCATAGGCAAGCTCCCCCTAGGTCTCCTAATCTCGTATCCATCAATATCTGGCAACATATGAGCCGTCGATTTTGTATTCTTTTAGATCCCACCTTGTGTTGAAGCATTTATCCGAACTAATGCATGACAAGGACCCTACAAATTTCTCCCTTGAGGTGTCATGCCATTCATTCGAATGAAGATCAATCAAATAGGACCGCCATTTCTAATCTTAATCCTAAGTGACTTGGATTTCGATCCTTGCACCTAATAGGAGTGATATGTCGACTAAGCATTCATTCAAATCAACAAATTGTGAAATAGACGAAGTCGAGTATTAATACATGTGAAGGAAGGATAATGCAACATGTATCACACAATTGAAGGAAAGATATATCAAAGGGGACAAGACAAAACATATTTCGCCAAAATTTTTCTTCACTCATGACCTTCAAAAGAATGGGGAAATAAAAGTACTTCAGATTCGTTTATGTGATAATCTGGCATATTTATTCACAAAGTCTCTTCCTACTTTAGCATTTGAGAAGGTAGTTCACAAGATTGAAGTTCGACTATTCAAAGATCTTCAATGATGTCACGATTAGGGGAGTACATATGTACTGTACTCCCCCCCCCCCCCCCACACCCCCAACTGTGATTTTTTCCACTAGGTTTTTCCGATAAGGTTTTTAATGAGACAGTATACAAAGGCGTATTACAAATTATGGACATCTAAGGGGAGTATTATAATATATACATTGGATGGATGTCCACCCTACACATCATCATCATCTCCCCAACCTCCTCCTAACTACATTGATGAGAATGACTTGCTCGTTGCTTATAAAAGCAAGGCTAGAGAAGAAGAGAAGATACACAAAAAAACATCAAAGGTTGTACACCTCTCTGTATTCAATTGTATCACGAGAATATGTATCTCATCATCATATTTTCTCGTGCATTCCGGAATAATTGTTTCACGCAATAAGAATTTTTGTTTAAATACAAGATTTATAAGTATCAGTTACAGACTGTTTGGTACCAAATGAATCGAGAATTCATTTCATTGTAAAATGAATTATCGTGTAGAATTCATTGTCAAATGAAATCTTGTGTTTGGTATGTCTTATTCAAATCTTTAGAAATAAAATGAATTGCAGTGTACAATTTATTGTCAAATGAATTCTTGTGTTTGGTATGTCATATGTATAAGTAATTTAGTTAATAAAAGAGGATAATTATGTTATTCTATTATAATTAGTAAATACTTGAGGAATTAATTTAAAAATTCCATCTCAATTCCTCGGACTATAACTAGTTTCAATTCTATAGAATTCAAAATTTGAAATTGAAAATGAATTTTCTTAAATAACAAACACAAAAATGTTTCATTTCCAAATAAATTTATCAAAACTTATAAAATTCATTTATGCCTATTATTTAATTTTTGATTTGACAACTAATTTCCCCTCCAAATTGCTACCTTGCTTAGTTTGTCTCATTCCTTTCTACGTCTGCCTTTCTCTCTCTCCCTCTATATTAGCTCCAGCCTCCAGCTCAGGTGGAGGAGGTCCCATGGAGTCTTTCCCTCCCTCAATCCTTCTCTAGGGTTTTTCTTCCTGGCGCTCTTTAGCCTTTTTCGTTTATATTCGAACGTTGGCGATTTCTTTTATGTTGCTCCACGTGAAAGTGCCACGGGGATTGATAGAGATATCTTAAGAAACTCTTCGAGCTGCATTGGGGAAGATTCTCGTTAGGGTTTGTTGCTTCTCCTTCTTCTGCAGTTATCGGGGTTTCAATTGAGTCGAAAGTTCGATTTGGAAATGCCTGCCCACAGATCGAAGTCGGAGAAAGAGGATGCCGGGAAGCAGCTCCGACGGAGCCCTTACGAGGTACTCGGCGTCTCGAGGAACTCTTCCGACCAAGAAATTAAGAGCGCTTATCGGAAAATGGCCCTCAAGTAAGCTGCTGCTTCCTTTATCTTGTATCCTTTTCTAAGGCATCTTTCTGGGTTCTGGAAGTCTTTTCTTCTCCTATAGGAGTAAATGGAATTGGTTTTCTGGTTGTAAGTATTGAAAGGGCATGTAATTGAGCAGAGCAATTCGCAGTCTCAGGATTTTTTGTAGATTTTTTACTTCAAATTGTTGATGTTCTATGTGTTCCTGTCAGCGAAGTGTCAATTTTGAGTCAAACACGGGGCAATAGTTTCTTACCTTTGTGTTCCGAAAATGGAAACTTCGAATTCAAAGTTGGACTTTTATCTCTTTTACAAATTGACCTGGTTGATGATTTACATAAAGGGGCCTTTGGCAGCAAAAAGGTGTTAGCTTTTGTTCTCGTGGCTCCAGACTCCAGAGGCAAGGAGTTGGGAATTAAAACTGTTGTGAGATTCATATAGTTTGGTTTTGGTGGTGTATCTAGGATAATTGGATTGGTGGGTGGGAGGGACTAACTGTGAAATGAATAAGGCCTCTTGCTGTATTGGCTGAAGAGCAGAAGGGCCAAGGTTATTGCACATGCTCGTATAAATCGTGACACTACAGGTAGAAGAGCAAGGTTAACTAGATTTCAGGGGGGTTGATAAATTTACTGCTGATTAGGTGGTTGTATGTCTTGGCAAAAAGTTTAAAATAAGTTTAAAGGAACCGAAATACTTCATGTGTGGCAACTACGATTAACAATCACCATTCATGTATACGGTGATTTGGTTATGCAATTGTTTTGTTTCTCCTACATTTTGTTTTCTTTTAATTTGAACATTCCACTTTCTTTGAACTAGTCAAGTGTGCGGACGCTGATGGTATAGTGTCTCAGGTACCATCCTGACAAGAATGCAAACGATCCAAAAGCAGCTGATATGTTCAACGAAGTTACATTTTCATACAGCATACTGTCTGATCCGGACAAAAGACGCCAGTTTGACAATGCTGGTTTTGAGGTAATGTTGTTGGAGTGTTATCCTAGAAGTTATAGAATCCTGTCGAGGGATGTTTGTGTATCTTCTGACATGTATATCACATTAATTCTTTTTTTTTTTTGTGCGTGGAAATATTAAGATAATTCATTGGCCTGGGCTTTCCTGATCCAGTGCATCTCAATTGATGTTAGAAGCATTTTGCAACTTGCAATTTTCTCCCCAACTGTGGTCATATGAATGCTCCCTCTTTGTTGTGTCAGGCTGTTGAGGCAGAAAATCAAGATCTGGAACTGGATCTCTCAAGTTTAGGAGCTGTGAACACTATGTTTGCCGCACTATTTAGGTAATTTCATTGATCTTATGATTTAATCACTGGTTTAACATGTAGTTTCTTGTGCTTTACTTACAGAAATGCTTTTCTATTAGCATATTTTTCATGTTTGCATTTGTGTCATCTTGTAGTAAACTTGGTGTGCCCATCAAGACAACAGTATCAGCCACTGTATTGGAGGAAGCACTTAATGGTGTGGTTCCCATTTACCCACTTGAACTCGGGCATCCAATTTCTCGCAAGGTGCGATATATCTCCTGGTTCAGATGTTAGTTTTACCAACTTCATTTGTGCTCACAGAGATTGCACTTCGAAGCAGGTTGAGAAGCAAAGTGCTCACTTCTATTCTGTCACAATCTCAGAGGACGAAGCAAAAGCTGGTTTTGTTTGCCGAGTGCAATCATCCGAAAAAAGCAAGTTCAAGGTTTGTAACATCAAACAGTAGTGAATCCCTGTACAGAAATTCACTGAAGATCTCTGCCGGCTAGTTAATTTGACCATTAGTCTTACTACTTCAATGCCTTTGCAGTTATTGTACTTTGACCAGGAAGAAAACCGTGGATTGAGCCTTGCTTTACAGGTACAGAAAAATTGTCACTTCTGGTTATCCGTAATTTTTCTTAGTAGGACAGGTACAGTTTGTCCGATTTGGATCTTTAAGAAATTCTTCTGTTACATATTGCTATTCCCCATCTGTGGTCTACACAAATAAGCTTCATTTACTGTAGCTGAGTCTCCTGTGGGTCTGGGGGGATGTTTTTCCTAGAGCATGTCTTGGATAGGTTTTCTAATGAAGGTATAGAAACAGCATTGAGCTCTACGTTTGGTGAATGGTTTAAAGTCACCAATAAGGAAGTCATATTTGTAGAGATTGACTGCCGGGGTTGTGCATGTTGTAGATGTGCTCTCAAAAATGGAAGACTATGGATAATCTTATATATGATGAATTCCAAATGCATATAAATACTGAGCACTTTTTTCTCCTATTTCTGGTATAACAATGTGCTTACGTTTTGAGTGTAGGAGGAATGCACTAAAACAGGAAAAGTCACATCTGCTGGAATGTATTTCCTTGGGTTTCCTACATATCGGTTGGATCAAACAGTGAACTCGGTAAATTGATGGTGCTGTGGAAGATACTACATTTGCCTTTCTATTTTCAGCTTATATGCTTGCTCAATTTCTCCTTTCCTTTTGTTCTTTAAGCTTGCGGCTGCCAAGGATGCTGATGCTGCTTTCTTTAAAAGGCTAGATGGCTTTCAACCTTGTGAAATAAATCAATTGAAGGCTGGAACCCATGTTTTTGCTGTCTATGGTTAGTTCTAGTTTTTCCTTTTCCTTTTTTTTTTCCTTTGTTAAATATGTATATCTCCTGATTTAGATGCATGAATGACTTCTTTAATTTGGTCGCTTGTTTCAGGTGACAATTTTTTCAAAAATGTAAATTATACTATAGAAGCTGTTTGTGCTGTACCTTTTGGGGAAGAAAAGCAGACTCTTAGAGCCGTTGAAGCTGAAATTCTTGAAAAAAGGATAGAAATATCGAAATTTGAATCTGAATACCGCGAGGTCTGTAATTATCCCTTGGTTAAAGTCCATCGTAGATGTGATTTACTTTTGCTAACTTCGTTTGTAAGCTTGACAGGTGTTGGCGCAATTCACAGAAATGACGGGTAGATATGCCCAGGAGATGCAAGAGGTATGACGTATGCAGATTTTGTCTGATATCATTAGTTCACATCACTGGATAGTCTTCTGATCTATGTCTTGATCAATGCAGATTGATGAGCTTCTAAAACAAAGGAATGAAATTCATGCAGCCTACACAGTTGTACCACCAATGAAGCGGAGTATAAGTAAAAGTAGGAGTAAGGGTTCCTTCAAGGAGAACCATGAAGTTGGACAAGCAAAAGATAAGAAATCTTCAACAAGAGATAGACCAAAGAAAAAGAAATGGTTCAATATCCACATAAAAGTAGACAAGAGAAAGACTTGCTAATCCATGTAAGGGACACAAACTTCATTGCCATTCTTCCTCCCAATTGTGTTTCAGGAACTATGCTTCCTAATCTTTGATTCATCGCTGCAGAATAATTCCGGAGGCCGAATCAGATACACATTAGTTTTTGAACAAACTTTTCTTGGTGATTCGGCTCTGATGGCTTTTTTCTACTCCGACCATAATTGGTTGCTGAATGATTCCTACTATACTTCATGACTAATGATGTAGTGTGAAGACGGTCTTGTGTATATTGCTACGTCAACAGCTCAATGTTATGTAAAATGTAATCTTTTTGATGGGGAGTTTCCCCTTTCCTAGGCTTTTCTGTTCTCTTTTCTTCCCCGTGATTGTAAGAACCATACCTGTACATTTGCATAATCTATGCAATATATTTTTTGTTCGTTCATGGCGAACTACGTTGTCACCATTGGCTCCTTGGCAACTAGGTAAGCCTCTCCAAAGCTACTATTTAGCTGCATGCTGTTGTAATGGGCGTGGTTTCATTTTCGGTTTCCATACTCTGACAATTGTGATTATTCATTAGAGTCCAATCCCTGTTCTAGGAGTCGGAGGGAAGTTAGTGAACTGAAAGGAGTGACGGCTCAGGGGCATTAGTTTTTCTCATGAATTAGTTCTAGGTATGTCTTCTGTGTTTCCAATTTTTGCAGGATATGTCATGAACTCATGATGGTTCTGCAGGTAACATGCAACAATGTTCTTCCACACATTGGCCGGGTAGGCATTCATTCATTCATAATGAATTTGCCTTTAAATGTTCACAGTATTGATCTAGTCACACCTGTGCCTCACCTCACCATCTTTCTCTGTCTTTATCTTGTAGGTGCTGAGCTTCTCCTTCACTTGAGCAAACGCTTCGAAGAAAGCCTTTTTGTTCTTTGCATAAAGCTCCACGAAAGGTTTCGTTCTCCGATCTGCAGCCAGGGCTTGATCCGAAGCAAGCAGCCCTAGCCCCTTGTCCAGGTTCTGATAGTACATGTAGTCGAACTTCCCAGGGGTCATCACATCGTTGAAGGCGCTCATTGTCGGGTTCTTGGTGTAGTTTTGACACAGTTTCTTCAGCCCCTCCGCTTACTTGGGGTTGAGCGCCAGATCAGTTGGGGAAGTCCTGCTGAAGTTGTAAAGCCGGTAGCTGAGCTCTCTACAACGCGAGAAACCAATCGTATGGGCTCCGATCAGCGTCACCATTTCTTAGACCGTGTACCCTCTGGAGACAACGAACGCAATGAACTGAGAGATGGGCATGGTCGGCTTCTGGAGGTTGGGGTACACACAGGAAGCGTCGGAAAACAGCCTGTCTTTTTGGCCAAGACGGACACAATAAACGGGGCCACCGACCATGCTGACGAGGTTGCAGGCTGCGACGGGTGGAAATGTCGTAGATGCCATGGCGGTTTAGCGTCGAGATTGGATCATGCGAGAGAGAGACGAATGTGAAATGTGATGAAAAGGTGGCAGCGAGTTCATGATGGGATGCAAATGCAATGTTGCGGCTGAGAGAAGAGACTGAGAGTGTGTTGGGAGTTGTGGAAGAGAGTTCCGTGGAGGGAATGGAGTATTGACAAATTTAGATGAATTGATCAAATCTAAACCATTGACGTTGAAAAATCTCAACACAGACAATTGATTGGTACTGGAAAAAGTTTACACCTAAAAGTTGTTCTCATTTCTTTGATAGTGTTTTAAGGTAGACAGGTAGTTAATATTTTTATAAAGGGTTAATTGCATGGTTGGTCACTAAGATTACAAAAAACGTTCATATTTGGTCACTGTAAATATTTAAATCCAATCTTGGTCACTCAAATTAGTTAAATGGTTCAAGTTTGGTCACTCTCCGTCCAACTCCGTTAAATTTGTCTGATGTGGCAGTCAACCCTCAAAGTTGACCGTTAACTCAGTGACGTGGCAATTAAAAAATAATAAATAAAATAAATTTTAATCTTCTACCATTTTCAACTCATTTTCACAATAAAGTAAAATAAATAAAACAAAACAAATATTATAATTACAAATTGAAAAGGGGTCATCACCGACGACAACAACCACCACCACCTCTCCTCCGCCGCCGATGACAACAACCACCGCCTCCGCCGCCAGTACCAGGACCTCTCCACCATCCTCCCCCACCGACTTGGCCCGACGATCTCCTCTCCAAGGACGTTCCCCTGATCCTCGAGCGGCACAACAACGATCTCGCCCTCGTGGAATTATTATTTGCTTTTATTATTTGCTTTTGTGGGTGGTGGCACTTGGCTCCATCTGATCCATTGGGTAGAGAGTTACGTTGTAATTTGGATATAGACTACAAATGGAGTTTGCTTTGTGGCCTAGGTATGTTCCATTTCAATATCGAGGGTGGGTAGAGGTATATACATATCTATATCTTTGTGCATCATATTGGTTTTGGACACTATGGAAATGACTCAATTATTAGTTGTTCCTAATAATTATATATTTGTATATATATGGTGATGACTGGTGTACGTCAGGCGTATACTATACGTCAGGTGATCTAGCCGTTAGATGTGGTTAGATGAGCTCCGGCCAATCTCAACGGTCAATTTTTGTTTCTCATTAAATCAAACTTCAGGTTGGGGTTTAGAAAATCGGTGACTGGGGTTTATCCATTAGAGGTTAGGGTATAGTATCATACCACAAACTCGATGTAATTCATGGTCTAGATAGAGATATCTCACTAGTAGTACCTGACGTATAGTATACGCCTGACGCACACCAGTCTGACCCATATATATATATATATATGGTGCCGTATTCGGTGCACCCACTTTTTCGGGTGCACTCAGTGCACCCGCCTCATAATTGTCATTCTCACCATGCGATTCATGTCAAAACGGTATCAATTGTTGCTTATGATATTATGAACAAGAAGCACATGAATTTGAAAAAAAATTCATTCAAAATTTACTAAAATTCGAAGGATTTAGGATTTAGGGATTTAGGGTTAGGGTTTAGGTTTACAATTTGGGATTTTGGGTTGGGATTCAAAATTGAAGGTTAAGGGGTTAGGGTAATGGATTGATTTGTTATGATTCTGTCATATCATCATATTATATTGAGAGTACTAATTAAAGTTCAAAATTTGATATATTATGGACGCTTTTAGAATTGGGTGCACTGAGTGCACCCAAAAAAGTGAGTGCACCGAAGTAGCCACCATATATATATATATATATATATATATATGTTATTGTGTTTGAAAATAGTAGTGAACTATGTGCATCAATTAAGTATTAATTAGTATAAGGGTTACTAGATTAAGATACATAAACGAGTTTTTGGTGACCAATTTTTATATATATATCATCACATAATTAAATCATTCAGTCTCAACAATTCGAATTATTGCAGGAGGTTTAAAATAGAAATTTATATTCGTATATTTACCATTTCTTAGACCGTGTACCCTCTGGAGACAACTAAGGCAATGGCCTGAGAGATGGGCATGGTCGGCTTCTGGAGGTTGGGGTCCACACAGGAAGCGTCGGAAAACAGCCTGTCTTGCCGGCCAAGTCGGACACAATAAACGGGGCCACCAACCATGCTGACGAGGTTGCAGGCTGCAGCAGCGAGGATGTCGACAATGTCGGGACATTCGAGCTCGCGAGCGGTCTTTGCACGAACGGCCGTCTCAAATGCGTCGCTCGGGATGTTGAGGTTGAGGTTGGGGTCACGTTGTGGAAGAGAGACTTCCGTGGAGGGAATGGAGTATTGACAAATTTGGAGTTGGATTGTATTTAACTTGTCGAATTCATCTTGCCATAGTAGAGAGATATCCTGCCGGGACTTGCATTGAAATTTTGATGAATTGATCAAATCTAAACCATTGAAGTTGAAAAAATCTCAACCCAGACAATTGATTGGAACTGGAAAAAGTTTACACCTAAAAGTTATTCACATTTCTTTGATAGTGTTTTCAGGCCGTTAATCTTTTTATAAAGTAGGCTTGGTCATAACAATGAATTTCATTTGAATCGAATCTTTTGGAGTTGGCTTTTATGGTCGGCATAGGCGGAGCCAGGGCATGTGGGATGTATCCCGGGACACAGGTAATTTTTAGGTAAAATAAAATACTTCATATATATGTATCAATCAAGAATTGCAGTCATCATATTTAGGTGATATAAAAGTGTTTCATTGCTATACTACATGTTATTTCAAGTTTAAAGCTAAAATAAATTAATTTATCACACTATAAACAAAATTTACAATACCTAAAAATCGATCTCTCTGTCTTATGAAATTAGTTTTGACTCTACCTGTTGAAACTGCAAGTGTAGTTAGAACATTTTAGCTTTGAGCTATATTAGAAACACAAGTTCCAAAGTCGAACTGCGACCAATTTGCTAATGATTGCTTAGTTGGATAAATTGAGAATGTGAAAATGCGTCGTGATTGCTTATGAAAATAATGATTATATTAGTCTAAAATTTATTTATTATCTAAGAATGAATTATTTGAATATTATTAGTTTTAATTATGTTTATTAAATAATTATATATTTATATTATGAAAAGAGGACACAAGTACTTTCGAGTTCTGGCTCCGCCACTGATGGTCGGGTCGTTTATGGGCATGAACGTTATATTTTTTTGTTATTGCTGTTTTTCTATGCTAGAGTTTTTGTTTTTTATTGAGAAACATTCTCATACACTGTTTAAGTGATGTCGGAGAGAGATAAAACTTGGAGGTTCACCTGTTTGAGTTATTTTGGCTCTGCACAAAGATCCCCATTAAAGGCCTGAGTGAACACCATAACGAGTCTCGATGAGGTCAAACACAGGATTCATTCTATATTAGATTTTAGTTTCAGAAATTTCAAATCTCTAAAATCTAGACATATCAAATTTCTCATGGTCAACGAGATTCCATATTTTAATTTGAGAGATTTTTTGCTACTACTATTTTATCTCTTCTTTTATATTTATCCCACTAAATACTCTTACCAATAGATACTCAATATGTTTTTAGGGTAATGTCTATTTTTTTTATCCAAACCGTTTTTCATATTCTTTTATATTATTCAAACCTATTAAAATGCTATTAATTAGCCAAATCTTTCGTATTGCATCAAAATTAGGGATGACAATTTCGACCTGACCCGTTTTACCCGACCTGTTTGGCCTGCTTTGGGGCGGGTATGACCCGCCCCGTAGGCGGGGCGGGCATGGGTAATCTCATCGACCCGACCTGCCCTGACCCGACCCATTTTCGACCCGCTCTTTCCTAAATTATATGTAATTTTAGTCAAATTGCTTCGAATTTTCCTTTTATTACATCATATTTTTAGCTATAATAAAGTTGTAAATTAGTTAAAACCTCAATTTCTCCAAGAAATTAACTACATTTATCATAATATTGTTTGTTTTCTTGATCTTATAATAAAAATAACGAATATTTCTAATGTTTTTCATATAAATTTCATACCCAATGGGTCGACCTGCCCGACCCGCGACCCGTGATAAATTACCCGACCTGGACCCGACCTGCCACGGGGCGGGTCTGGGTACCAAGAAACCCGCCCCGGACCTGCACCATTGCCATTCCTAATCAAAATATTTGTCATGTTTATGTTATCGTTAATAATTGTGTAACTCTTTTCTTAGTTAAAATACTAAAATTTTCTTAGTTAAAATACTAAAGCGATAGACGGTATTTACCGGTACAACGGTTGAACTACGATTTTACCACAATTTTACCATAAAAACCTTACCGTTGACTTTTCCGGTAAGATCTCCGGTACGGTTTCATGGACCATGGTTGGCATGTTGTTGTAGGTAATTTTATGAAATAAAATCGCAAAATAAGGTATTTATTTTGTCTTCCTTTCTCGATTAAAATAAAAAAAAAAGAACACAGGCGACAAATTTTTATTACTTTTAACTTGGGGAAGAATCCCGTCAGTCTGGCGTCTGAAAATACAAAATCGGGTGACGTCGAATACCCTACGTCACGTAGAACAAGGGAAGTGAACAATCAACAACCTAACAAAATTAAATGAAATGACGTCGAGCAGCCTACGTCAGATTAGTACAGAAACAGCTCAACCGTCCGAACCACCGAGTTTTTGGCTACCGACTGCTCCATCCACGGTCCACCAAACCAGCAGTCCTTTATTGAACGCAGACATCAGCACCGCCCGAGCTTCTTCATTCCAAAAACGGCAGAAGCTTTCTCACATTGAGTTTGTCATTATAATCGTGACACGTGACAATCGAGAGAAGAAGAGGGAAATGCACCACTCTCGGCTCTCGCTTTCATCAAACCTTATAAAAACCCGCCTGAGTTCCATCTCCAAAACCACCATGAACAGGAAGCAACCTTCCCCCCTGAAGAAAGCTGAGCAAAAAAATGGGAGAAGTAGCGCCGCAGAGAAAAGCACACGTTGTGCTCCTTCCATACCCAAGCCAGGGCCACATCAACCCACTCCTCCAATTCGCCAAACGACTCTCTTCCAAAGGCGTGAAAGCCACAATGGCCACCACCCACTACACCGTCGGCTCCATCACCGCCTCCCCTGCCGTCGTCGCCGTCGAGCCCATCTCCGACGGTTTCGATGCCGGAGGGTTCGTTCAGGCTCGAGACGAGCGGACGTTCCTCCAGTCGTTCGAGACCCACGGCACCAGAACCCTGTCCGAGCTCGTGGCGAGGCACGAGAGGACCGACTCCCCTGTCACTTGCATCGTCTACGATTCTTTCCTGCCCTGGGCGCTTGACGTTGCCAGGGGACACCGCATTTATGGAGCCGCGTTCTTCACGAACTCGGCCACCGTCTGCGGCGTGTTCTGCCGCGTCAGCCGCGGGGTGATCACGCTGCCGTTGGCGTCCGAGGAGGATGGGGTGGCTGTCCCTGGGCTGCCTAAGCTGGGTCGTGCTGATCTGCCGACTTTCGTCAGGTTTCCGGAGAGCAACCCGGCCTACTTGGCGATGGTGCTATGTCAGTATTCGAACTTGGACGAGGTCGATTGGGTTTTCTGCAACACATTTCAGCAATTGGAAAGCAAGGTTTCGTAAACCCGATTCCTTCTCATGATCACTGTTTCATTCATTGTCCTCTGTAGCTGGCTAATTTTTCTATCCAACAGTCAACTCTACAGCTATTTTTCCCCAACAACCAACAGTCAATTACTCTGTTTCTTGTTGACATATCATGATATAGCTGTACGAAATGAACAACTATTTACCTGTTTCCTTCAATAACTGATTCTGTTCTATGTAATGATTAAACAAAACAGGAGGCAGGAAGTGTAAAAGGGCATTGGCCGGCGAGACTGATTGGCCCGATGGTTCCTTCGTCCTACTTAGACGGCCGGATTGCCGGTGACAAAGGATATGGAGCGAGTCTCTGGAAACCACTCAGTGACGAGTGCCTAAAATGGCTGAAGAACAAGGAACCCAGATCAGTAGCATACATTTCCTTCGGCAGCATGGTGAATTTGACAGAAGAGCAGATGGGAGAGATTGCAGCGGCGTTGGAGGAAACAGGCATTCAGTTCCTGTGGGTGGTGAGGGCTTCAGAGCACAGCAAGCTCCCAGCTCGGTTCAGGGAGTTGAATGCTTCAAAGGGTCTAATAGTGCCATGGTGCAACCAGCTAGAGCTGTTGGCACACAAGGCCACAGGCTGCTTCGTCACACATTGCGGCTGGAACTCGACCCTTGAAGGGCTGAGCCTGGGTGTGCCGATGGTGGCTATGCCGCAGTGGAGTGATCAGGTCACCAATGCCAAGTACGTGGAAGAGATTTGGAAGATTGGTGTTAGAGTGAAGGAAGACGAGACGGGGGTTGTTAGAAGGGAGGAAGTTGCTAGGTGCTTGAAGGAAGTGATGATGGAGGGGAGTAGAAGCCTGGAGATTAAGGAAGCTGCAAGGAAATGGAAGCAGATGGCTGTGGAGGCGGTGAGCGAGGGAGGTGAATCGGACCGAGAAATCAACAACTTTGTTAGGAAACTGCTTTCGTGTAGTGACCATTCAAATCATACAAGGATACAATAAATTTACACGGAGATGATGGGAAGGAAATGAAAAAAGATCACAGAAGAGTCAAATGCCTGCTAGAGAAACATCATCGGACATCGTTTGGCTAACACCTTTATATAAGTACCTCATGATTGCAATCTGATGTTTCCTTTCCTTGCATTAGAAGCTCACTGCGACGCGAATTGAAGTTTGCTTTTCTTCTTGAGTTTGTTCCTGAAGCCTCTTTTCCTGCTAAAAGCAGTCTCCTGCAACCCAAATTAAGACAACTATCAATCTACTGCTCTGGAAGGAGCAACCAGTAATCAACACAAAGAATATGCAGTTTAATAATGATTTTCATTGCTACTTGATTTCCAAGAGGAAAAGTACATAACAGCATACTTTGTTTGATAAAATTATACTACATAGCTGCAAAAGGGTCATTTAACAGTTGGTGCATTTATCTGGCAAAATAAAACAGCAAGTTAGGTTTCGAGAAATTACCACTGGACGTCCCAGTTTCTCAGCTTCACGAATTGCAGAAACAAGATCTCGATTGGACTCAGTGTACAGGCTAGTAACAACCCCGTGTTGACCAGCTCGACCTGTGCGGCCAACCCTATGCAAGAAATCTACAGCTGATGTTGCAAAGTCTGCCTGGAGGATGAAGCCAACAAATCGTCAGAAATTACTCCTCTGAAGTATGTCTTATCAGAAGTGTTGTTCATGATTATGTAAGAAGCATATGCAGGAAAACATCTCCATGGCTAACACAAAGAAAAAGCACCTGAATAACATGCGAGATATTTGGAATGTCGACCCCACGAGCAGCAGCATCAGTGCACACAAAAATTCCACCTTTCTCCCTGAAATCATCCAACATCCCAGCACGTTCTTCTAAAGAGGCGTCCTTATGGTATCTGTAACACTCAATTCCAGCTCTTTCCAGTATCTTCGCTACTGCTTCAACAGCCTCAACGGTATTTGCAAACACCATAGTTCGACTAACATCATTATTATCAGGCGTTTCAGATTCAACTCCATGTTTCACAGCCTCAATAAGTGCATCCACCTGGCTATCTACGGTTACCTCAAACCACTTCCGCTCCAATCTGCAAAGCAAACGTAACAAATGAGTTATCAAAAGTGACCAGCTAGGTGCAACAATTGTAAGAGGCTTTGAAATCAGTGTGAGCACCTGGGGTTATGGCGGTGAAGGTAGTTTCCATTCACCCATCTAGCATCTGGGAACATCCGTTTCAGCACTGCACCAGCAGTTCTCTTCCCATTAGCTGGGAGTGTAGCTGCCACAAAGATATACTGCTTGCTACGGTCGTAAGGTTTTAGAACTCTTCTCCAACCCTTTTTCTGAACTGAAACACCATCTTCATTTCCCTCTTCTAACTCTTCCTCTTCAGAAAGACTTTCGATCTCTTCATCGTCATCTTGAGATGCGTCGTTTGGCGATTCTTCATCCTGTTCCAAGGCATCCTGAGGCAGAGTCTCCAAGTCTACTTCAGAAGCATTATCAGCTGTGGATTGACTTGTCCAGGAAAGAAGCTTCTCATCATGACGAAACATGTTTATGAGACGGATCACTTGATTCTGGAAACTGCCACAGAGAAGCATGTCTGCTTCATCAAACACCTGACAGTCAATGAACAGCATACCATTAAAAACAAAGATGAACCCAAAATTGAAAAGCTCCATCAAACAGCAAGGTTCAGAGAGGAGATATTTTAGAGAAGAAAAATTACCACATATTTGACTCCACGAAGGAAACTCATCTTTCTCTGTTTCTTTGGTTCAATGTTGTTCAGAAGCGCAGCTGGAGTCGATACAAGGATGTCCGGTTGATATACTGGCCATCCCTTCATAAAGTCAAATTAAAGGAAGCAGGTTTAAGGAACTAAAACTGAGCTAAACTAACTTCAAAAGAAGTAACTTTTTTTGTATGTACTACAGAAGGAACTTGAGTTCAGCTGGAATATGCTACTACCTGTCTCCCACAAACTGCTGCGACTCTGATAAGTGGGTCGCCATTCTCATCACAAAGACCATTCGCCATTCGAACCACTTGCTCGCATAGCAGCACGTTGGGGCAAAGAACAAGCGAAACTTCACGGGAAGGTTTGAAACCTTTATCAGAAGCAGAATCACAAACAGAGCCGACACTGGAAGCGGAAAGCTTGTGAATCAGAGGAACTAGATAGGAATGCGTTTTCCCACTGCCAGTCTCCGCAGCAATGATCGAATCCTTCCCGGAAAGAATCGATGGGATGGACTCGGCCTGAACGAGGGACGGCCTGGTGAATCCGGCATTCGATAGAGCTTGAGAGATTGTGTCCGGCAAGCCGAGAGCATTCCACGAAACGCCTTCCTCGGCGAAGAACGTCTCGCCGCCGCCACGATCCGCGGTGGTGGCGACGGCGGCTGCTGTAGCGAAGCTCCGCACTCCTCCGTCGTTGGATTGGGCTAGGCAAAACAGATGAACCCGAAGCGAAGTCGATGAGTTGGGAAACGAAGAGGAGAGTGAAGGGGCTGAGAGAACCGAAAAAGTTCTTCTCAATTGAGGAAAGAGGAGCTTTGGCGACGACGAGAGCTTGTAGAAATGGAGCATTGGAGCAGAGCTATGACGAAAAAGCATCTGCCTTGCTGTGTAAGAAGAAGCAGAAGGGGATTAGGTTTTCGGGGTTTAACCTTGAAAATTGAAATGATAAACCCTTCCAGTTCCAGAGGCACCTTCGCACCGACCGGCCGAATGAAATGACACCGTATTATTGTGGACGGTCGATCATCATTTGTTTCCAATCCAAGGGATTAATGATTGGGCTGCAAACTGAGCAAGCCCGTATGGGAACTCAAAGGCCAAAGTGAAAGTATAAAAGTATAGAACTTTCATCTTCCTCAGAAAACTTTGCTGTCATTCTCCACTCTGTTTGTGGGGTTTTGTTGGGATTGCGGTTTCTATAGCATAATGGCGCCAAAGGTTTTCAGGAAAAACATATGGCAATGGCGCCGAAAGCGTGCAAAAGCAAAACCCTTGATCGACCCAAACGGGATGTTCGCCGGGATGGTGGTTCTCTTGGTGGCGAATGGAGTTCAGCCCCGCCGGCTAGAGGTTTGTTTCTCTTAAAATTCCCATCGCAAACTATTGAAACTTGGATGCTTGGAAGCAGTAGTTTTCCCTTCAACTTATTGCTTCTCTTTGCATTTCATCGTTGGGGTTCGGAAGATTTGGAAGCAGAAGCTGGTGCAGAAGAGGGCTACCGTCGAGGACTACTTCTCCAAGAAGGTCAATTGCGTTTTTGCTATGAGCCCAGAAGCCCTTCTCAAGCAATTGGATAGACAACGCCTTGAAAGCTTCAAGGGAGTGAGTTTTAGGCTTCGTTGGTTATCCTCTCTACTCTTAGATCAATGCGTGTAATTCTGATGCTTCAATTCTTTTTAACTGCATCTCTTCCCAGAGAGTTCTCCTTTTTCAGTGGCTAGAGGAGAGCTTGAGATTAGGGGAAAAGGTTTCTGAGGATTTATACCGCATAGACATCAATTCAGAAGGAGGGGATACTGGAAGTATGTCTCAAAGTGCTAAGGATAGTGAAGAACCTTCTCTGAAGAAGACGAGATATAATCCAGAGGACGTGGAAAGTTTAAAAGCTGATAGCAGGGATGATTCAGCGGATAGTCCCAGAATCCTGAGAGCGTAGACTACTCTCTTAGCCCTGGAAGGACCAGCCCGAAATCTTATAGCAGTTCGAATATGGATGTAAGTTGCAGTAGTGTCTAATAGCTGATATGGATGCAGTGGAGACTGCCCTAGTTGATCGGTTGCCTGTATGTGCAGTTGTCCTTGGAGTATAATCCACCTGATTTAAACAGAAACATCACTGAGATATTTGGAAAACTTATCAACATCTATCGGGGTAAGCCTGCATACTCTTGCTAGAATGCTCAGTTCTTCCCCCTTTGTAGTAACTTCTGCCATGAATGATATTGATAACACCTTATGTTTCTGTGGAAAGCGTTGGGTGATGATCGGAGGTCTTTTAGCTATCACAAGGCAATCCCAGTCATAGAGAAGTTGCCATTCAAAATCGAGAGCGCAGAGCAGGTGAAAGGTCTGCCTGGGATTGGAAAGTCATTGCAGGACCACGTAAGTTTAGATTAAGTCCTTAGTTGTCCTTCTGTTTATTGCAGTAGTTGGCAGATGTTATATGAGTGGTGGAGAAGCAATGTTCAACGTTATCTATGCATTCTGGTAAATTGCAGATTCAGGAAATAGTGACTACTGGAAAATTATCCAAGTTGGAGCACTTTGAAACAGATGAAAAGGTAATGGAAATGCTTTGTAGAGATGTTCATAAGTGTGTTCGTAAACCATATGACGAATATCCTTGATTTTATCTTTATGAGCTGCAAAAGGCTTTATATGAATATTTAATTAGTGAAGTTTTCTCCGGCAAGTAATTCCAGGTATGTGCCATAACTTTATTCGGAGAAATTTGGGGTGTTGGTCCAGCTACTGCCCTGAAGTTGTACGAGATAGGACATCGCAGGTTAGAGGATCTGGAAAATGAGGATTCATTGACTACTTCACAGAAGATAGGGTTGAAGTACTTTGATGACATTAGGACAAGGATTCCACGCAACGAGGTCAAGTGTCAGGCTTCTCTCTCAACTTCTGTGGATATGGATGGAAATGATTTGGTATTTGTTTTCCTGATATTTTTTACATAAATCGAACTACCAGGTTCGAGAAATGGAAGGACTGCTGCAGAAAACTGGAGAAGAAATTTTGCCTGGGGTGAGTAGTTTTGCAGCGGTCCATGGACTAAAGATGATTCTAAATACTCGAGAGGTTCCAAAGGGACGTACTTAATCCAGGTTTAATGAAGTAGTGTTCCGTTGTTATTCAATGAAAGGACGTTGGCTGCATATTTTGTGGGTCAATTTCATATTTCAGATTCAGTCTGCCATGTAGAGATGTTCTTCTGTTCTGTTATCGGTTTAAGAGTCACTTGTATTTACTTTTGTCTACACTCTACAGGCAAAGCCCAAGGCCTAGGGATTCATTATCTGATTTCTGTTTTGACATGTTCTTAAGGTACTTATTCTATGTGGAGGATCTTACAGACGTGGGAAAGCATCTTGTGGAGACATGGATATTGTAGTTACTCACCCCGATGGAAAAAGGTACAGTTTGTGGTATTTTTTCCCGAAGTTCTTAACAATATTTTTCTGAGCATTCTTGTTCTTCTTGTTAAATCCCCTTCCTTAGAACAGCCATAAAGGATTTTTGTCGAAGTTTGTGAAACGGTTGAAGGATATGAAGTTCGTGAGAGAAGATTTAGTTTTCACCACTCACAGTGAACAGGTATGGCAATTTTATTCCTCCTTGACTGTTTTTACTTTTCAGGGAACTGTCATCAGAACCATTTGATAACATAAATAACCATATATATGAACGGCCCAAAGCACCAGCTATTTTTCGGATTAGGTCATCTGTATCACTTGCTTGCAGTACAGTTGTCTTCGTACTTTACTGAACTTTTTTGTGTGTGCAGGGTACTGATTCTGGTGTTGACACATACTTTGGTCTTTGTACATATCCAGGAAGAGAACTGCGACGCCGGATAGATTTCAAGGTGAAAAGAGTGCTGATATGTCATCTCTCCGGACCATAATGGTCAATTCATTAGTTTAATCCTTCTCATTCTGTAGGTATATCCAAGAGATATATATGCTTTTGGTCTCATAGCTTGGACTGGGAATGATGTACTGAACAGAAGGTAAGTTGCAGTTTTTCAAATCATGAAGGGCCTTTCCTATATCTCCATCATCATCTCCATTGAGCCTCTCTTTCTCATTGCTACTGGTCCACAGGTTGAGGCTCCTAGCAGAGTCCAAAGGTTTCCGGCTTGATGATACCGGTCTATTTCCAGCTACTCACTCCTCAGGTGGAAAACGGGTAAATGAATCTGATCTCACAGTTTTCAGAATCTGCACCAATAGGCTAGGGCAGGCTACTCTTACCGGCATTCAACAAATCACAATTTTGTTGCAGGGTACAAGGGCAACAGCAAGCTTGAAACTTCAGACGGAGAAGGAAGTGTTTGACTACTTGGGTTTCCCATGGCTTGAACCCCACGAAAGAAACTTGTGAGATGTGTACATACATGTTCTGCTTTTGCAGTCATCTATGCAGACACAAGCATCCAAGACCTTGTGCAGGGACTTAGTACTACTAGCAGTCTAACCGTCGTCGCCCTTTAGTGGCGCCTGGAGAGGAAGGGAAGCCGTAGAATTGTGATTTGGTAATGACCTCCACATGATAGTTCTCCAGCATAACATTTTTGCTAACGATTCCATTGTCTATATTCAGCTCGAGAGTCATGAATGTGCAGCGCAAACTGGGCTTTTGTGCAGAATGAAGGAAATTTTCCATTGATATGTTTTGATAAATTATTAGCTCATCTCTTGGCCTCCTGCGGTCCACGGTATAATATTAGCAACTTTGGCAATTTTGATTAGGGTTAAAGGTGCTTATTGCCTTTTTGCTATGCAAAGTTATCAAACATGCTGCTTTATAAATTTCACCATGTTTTGCCGGGATTTTTCTAGAAATAGCACTGTTTAAAAATAAAATTCCAAAAATAGCACCCAACTCCGAAAAATTCCAAAAATAGCACCCTTTTTGCAAAACCGCGACCCGGAGGTGCGTTTTTCGATGAAAATCGCTACCCGAGGGCGCATTTTTCGATGAAAACCGCACTGGTAGGGGGCGGTTTTGCAGACCGCACCCCCACCATGCGGTTTGGTTGCAGACCGCACCCCCACGATGCGGTTTGTTTGCAGACCGCACCCCTACCATGCGGTCTGCTTTTTTTTTTTTTTTTTTTGAAAAATCCTAACCTCCAAACGAACGTATCTTTATGTTCGGGTATCCGATCGTCGCGATTTTTTTTATTCCGCATAACTTTTTGAGATCTTGCAAGCCGAAGACTGCCAAAGGTGGTTTGGTCCCGCCTTCATCCAAAAAAATGTCGTTTGCTACCCCGAACGAGCTTTTTTCCGATTTCGTCAAACTTTGGACAACCATAACTTTGTGCTCCAAAATCCAAACGGCATGAATTTTTTTTTATTTCGCATAAATTTTTAAGGACTACAATTTTTACTAAGAATGAATTTTCAAAACAGGAATTATTTTTGGATATACAAGATTTTGGGAATAGCTTATCTTCTCTTCTCAGCAATCCACGTACATTTTGAAATTATGTCTATGATAAAAGTTGTATTCCTTAAAAAAATTTATGCGAAATAAAAAAAAAATTCATGCCATTTGAATTTTGGAGCACAAATTTATGGTTGTTCAAAGTTTGACGAAATCGGAAAAAAAGTTCGTTCGGGGTAGCAAACGACATTTTTTGGGACGAAGGCGGGACCAAACCACCTTTGGCAGTCTTCGGCTTGCAAGATCTCAAAAAGTTATGCGGAATAAAAAAAATCGCGACGATCGGATACCCGAACATAAAGATACGTTCGTTTGAAGTTTCCACCTAGGTTAAGATTTTTCTTAAAAAAAAAAAAAAACAGACCGCATGGTAGGGGTGCGGTCTGCAAACAAACCGCATCATGGGGGTGCGGTTTGCAACCAAACCGCATGGTGGGGGTGCGGTCTGCAAAACCGCCCCCTAACAGTGCGGTTTTCATCGAAAAACGCACCCCCGGGTGGCGGTTTTCGCCTAAACCGCTGGTACGGGTGCCGGTTTTGCAAAAAGGGTGCTATTTTTGGAATTTTTTGGAGTTGGGTGCTATTTTTGGAATTTCTTTTTAGACAGTGCTATTTCTGGAAAAATCTCATGTTTTGCCCTTCTATTACAAAAGCATATGATGTGCTCTTATCTATCTATCTATCTATCTATCTATCTATCTATCTATACATAATATTATGACAATTCAAAATTAAATTTTTGCCACATAAGCACTTGGAGATATCTCAAGTTGTCAAGTTGGACAATTTTTTTACCAAAAAAATAGTTATTGACCTATTTATGGAGTTGTCCCTCTCTCTTCATTTAATATTTAATTCTCTTTTATCCAATAATTATTTTGCTTTTGTTTTTGCATTATATCTATATTTAACATATGGAGAGAAAGGTTATCCAACCGATTTAGCAAGTGGAATGGTTTTACCAGTGGTACAATTGGTTAGTGTCGGTTCATGTCGGTTAATAAAATATTTAAAAATATCAAAAATCTTTAGTATCAAATGAATTTTATCATATATAAACCATATTTGAAGACAATTTACGTACAATTCATATTGATATTTGAATAAAATATAATATTTCAAATAAAATTACATGTACTCATACTTAAATCACTAAAACTACGTATTTTACTTAGAAATTCGTAAACCGATCATACCGGTCATACCGATGGTGTCATGTCGATTTCATGACCGGTACTGGCTGAATGGTTCAACCGGTGGCATGCCGACCGACGTGACAATCATGATGGAGAGTGACATATATCACATTTTGTTTTTCCATTATATCGATGTACGAAACAGTATACTAATAGTTGATGAATTTTGACTTCATATTCTAGGATGAGACACGAGATCCCTTGAAAAATGAAATGTGTGAAATTTAGAGAAATCTTTGTTAAGGATGTACGTTAAACATCATATTTCATGCTAAGAAAAATCTAAATTCGACGATTGAGGTAATAAATAAACATTAATGTTTTACTTCACATGTATAACAAAAAAAATTTATAGTTACAATAGTGTAAACCGAGCTATTGGGTCAAAAGAAGAATATTTAATAAATTAGTAAGAAAATTGTAACAAGTCTATATAGTTGTGAGCCTGTGATTTCATACCAAATTTTGGCATATCATATTTCAACTAAGGAGCTGAGTTCAAAGGTATTAATTAGTGTTGAAAATAAAATAAACTCTCTGTATATATATGTTTAGATATTAACAATAGATATGTCTAAAATACATCCAATAACTTAAATACATGTGAAAAGCCATAATGTTTGTATGAACTTTTAAATTTTGCTAAAAAATATTTTGTTAAAAAATGATAAGTTAATTATTCAAGGAATACATAATTTTGAATGCACCTGAAATATTTGTCTGTCGTATACACACTTTACCAATTATTAATATAAGTAATGAAATTTTTGTTCTAGAACAAACACAAAATATAAAGAAATTTTAGCGAATGAACATTCAAATAGTTGAAAAATTATACATTGAAGGAACATGTTAAGATGAGAACCTTCGATAGTGTATATGAATGCCTTGGATTCAGATTCTAAATGAACATCTAGACAAAAGGCATGGGTTGAGGGTTAGTCCAAACTTAAAATATTAGCAACTGATATATATTGTAAGATAATAATAATTTGTATCTTGATAGAAAATGGTCATAAGTTGCTATACAAAGACTTCATGAACATCAACAATAAAAATGAGTGAGGTTTAGAGAATTTAATCATTATAAGGATACGATGTGTGTCAAATTTCAATTGGAATAAACATAATTTATCCAGTAATCAAGTATCTTTTTCCAATAATTTGAACTCTGATTAATTGGCTGAGAGTTCGTACAAACTCGAGAATGATGAATTGATGTATGTTGTATAAGATAATAAATTTGAGCGTCTTGGTGGAATTTTTTTATATACAATCCTAAATAGGACGTGATAAACCTTTATGACATGATTTATGATCAGAGAATAAAAACATCACAAACGAGTGTGCTAACTATTAAATATTAAGAATTTTCGGTATAGACATACCACATATTCACTTATGAAGCGAGAACATAAAATGTATACAAGATCCAAAAAATTCAAACATATAGATAAGTTAACTAATACAAATAATCAAATGAACTTCTCCGGCCAACTGGCCGGGTAAAAAACTAGTATTTTCTATAAAGTTTTCCTTAGAAAGTAATGGTCGATTCATCGTCCAATTGTGGTGAAATATTGAATTTGCTCCTCAAAAACTCACGAGGTGTTCAAACGGTAATATTTGGATAGTTTGGATAGCGATTTGATTTGTTTAAATTTTTTAGCTTGTTTGGTTTGGTTTTACATACTCCTAACCAATCAAACAAACTTAACTAGTTAAGTAATTAGTTATATATCTCATAAATATTATATACACATACTTAATACTTAGCATAACCAGTCAAGTGTGAAACGTTACTCCCACGCCGACTTATAAAAATAAAGTACAATATTGTTCCTATACTGTATATTTGTATTTGTAGAGTGTAGACCACAACATATGGACTCCTATTTTAGATAATAGATAAAACTTAGACAATATGTTTGATGAAAACTTGAAAGGAATGTCTATTTCAGCCTATGATAATTGCTAAGATAATAAGTCAATTTACAAAACACAACAATTCATCAACCAATAGCATTATTGTGCATTTGTGTTACCTGAATACTTCTATTGACAGTAAGATAATCGTATTAGTTACATGTATTTATGTTAAAGGTTAACTATACCTATACGTTGATTGTTATGTTTTATTTATTATATAAATTACAAATTGATGCAGTAACCGGAGATTTCCTCACTTAGTGATAATTTGATGATATATTGTTTAGTTTGGTTAATTTGGTTGTTGTATTAGTTTGGACGGTTTGGTTATAATATTGTATTTCATAGTAAATAAATTTTAAACTTATTTGATTTCGTAATTATCATGGTAACCATTTAAACACCCCTACTTATCTTTGTCGGCTTCATTATGGTGGCAAAATTTATTGATATATATGACAAACTTAACCAAATTTTGGTAAGTGATAATCGATGAAATAGAGGCAGAGCTCAAAGCAAATAATTAATAAAAGAAACAAAATTAAATGACTATCATGAAAATAATTGATAAATCAAATAACCGAAAATACTAATTTAGTAATTTTTCATGAATTACCATTTAATCTACTAAATACATTGATTTCGAATCCATCCATTCTCTTTGAATCGTTCATTCTGGCCCATAAAAAATAACCGCAAGGAAACAACCATCCCATTCAAAACGAAAGCGAAGGCTAAAACAACAGAGTCAATAAATTTTATTAGACAAACGTTTCACCACTTGATCATATTATTAGGGTTGGCTAT